CCCTCCCCCTCCCCCCAACCCCCCAACTCCAATAGCGTGCGACACGTGTGTCCTCGCGACAAGTGGCGCGACACCCTCTGCCTTCACGCATGCTCACTCTCTTCTCACCCTTTTCTATTTCGTTCGTCCGCATATATATATATATAGTGCACGCGCTCCGCGACTCGCCCACCCTTCTCCTTCTCTTCTTTATACTTTCGACGATATTTTAAAGTAGCATTGTCCCGACACGCGCAGTCACCGAGCCTCGAGACAATATCGCGTCGTCACCAGGCCCCTTTTCTCTCCCCTACGTCTCGTCTCTTTCGGTTACACCGAAAGATTTCTCCTCGCGTTCCTGGACTGCGCTTTCTCACCGCTGCGAAGGGTGTCGTCGTTCTTCTTCGGCGGCAATCTTCGGGAACGGGACAGCTGCCGGCCACCAATATCACGCACGCGTATATCACCGTTGAGGATTTTCAATTTTAATATTTTCCTACATTCGAGCCGCCTTTACGAGCAGCTAAATCATAACGGCCCGCCCCGGCCGACGGCCGAGATTCCGACATTTTGTATTTCGACACCCTCGGATATTGGCTCCTATAACGCTCCTATCCCACCTTTTTTTTTTTTTCTTAGAGCCTACATGCTCTCCTCTCCTCTCCTCTCGCCGGCAACCCCATTTTCGAGTCCTCGAGCTCTCTTGGTTCATTTGGAGAAAGAACAGTCAGCCGTCGAATTCACCCTAGCGAAATAAACTCTTATCTGGCAAACCGAATGACGTAAAAGGAGAATCTCTATCATTCCTGTGTCGTTTCATCTGCTCCTCGATGCGACACGCGATCTCGTGGTTGTACAGGATCCTTTCGAAATAGGTCACCCGGTGTGCGCGACAGATTCCGCCGGTATCTCGAGGGTCTACCGGTGGGATCGCCATTGTCGTTGATTGTCGTACGCCCGGCAAGGATACAGGCGCCACACGGGCGGCTTACAGTCCCCGTGGGGAACGGGCACCGTTTTTTGCGGGGATTAAATGCGAGCCGATGCCGCGATAAGCCGTAGAAAACTACGCTGGAAGCGGTACCGGTGACAGATTACGCTCGTGACTTCAATCCGCCATCTAAATACCCGGCGACGTCTAACGTTCGACGTTCTGGTGAATCGCGAGAAGAAGACGTGTCCTCTCGCCGGGACGATAGGCCGTTCTTTCCTTTTTTTTTTTAATCGAATCGAATCGAATCGAATCGAAAGATTTTATTTTCGACGAGATTACATGGAGAATACGAATGTAATTGGTGATCATATTTTATATTCTTCCGAGTCGATTTCGTCTCCCAACGAATTTCTTTGACAACGAGAGAAATAAAATAAAAATAAAATCCCCTTCCCGACAGAACAGAACGAATAAACGTAATTGCTTTGATTCCGAAGGGGTTAAAGTGGAGGATAGGTGGGACATTACACGACGCGGCGGAAAAGATACGCGGAGAGACTGGTGGCCGGCTAGCAGGCCACGTTTTTCCCTCTTTTTCATTTGCCAAGGCATTAAAGCGGGCGAGGCAGCCGCTGGGATAAGCCGCAGAAAACTACGGCGAGAGCCGGTGGCTGTGACAGATTACGCTGTGCCGCACGATTCACCGTCTGCCGCTAAAGCCGCCTGCTGGAAGGAAAAAAGAGCTGCTGGCCGGATAGAGGACGGATCCATTCCGGAGTGGATTAGTCCGGGCCAACGTTGTTGGTACCTACACGGATACACGCGTATTTATTAAATCGAGCACTAATCCCCGAAAACAGAGAGCCTGGCGTACTTCGACCGACACGGCTGCCGTTTTAAACAGAGTCGAGCCTCCCTTGCCGAGGTTTCTGCTCGTCTTTCCCCTTCGTCGATCGCTATTGAAAGGTTGAATCGACACGAATGACGAAATCTTTAAATCAATTAAATCCGTATCCATATCCATGATTTGTCACCTTACGTTGGCAATTAATTAATTAATTAGGACTGAATACTATATACATAGAGAAATTTGGAAATTAACACAGCGATCAACGCGAATTTGTAGAGATCTTCTGAAACGGGTAACAAACGGTTGGACGAACGTGCTGAGGAACTTTGAGAAAGATTCATCGTCGGATATGATCGCGATTAGATGCGATCTGCGACCATTACGGCGTTAATCGCCTTAATAGAGACTGTTCGCGAAGAGGGACGGGTGGAAAGGGTACAGGAAGAACCTTGTAAAGCACGTAATCGTTCCCTCGTGATAAATCTGCGAAATGCTCTGTTCAAAGACTCCCAATCGAGTTTCGATAATTTCCATGAATTCTTTTTTTTTCTTTTTTCTTTTTTCATTAAATTTCCATCTTCGTCGATCTACTTAACCAGAGCGTGCGCGGTGGTTGAACGGTGTTTGTCGCGAGCCACTAACGAGCAATCCTTCTCTCCTCTCCGTTTTCTCCACGTGTTCGTCTCTTTTCTGCCCTCTTTCCTTCCTCCGCGAAGGGCACTCCAGCTTATATAAGTCTTATAAAGAGCAAAGCGGCGGACCACACACATCCGATCCTATCTGCAACCTTCTCTCTGTACGCTGCGCCTACCTTTCCTTCTCTTTCCTTCCTTCCTTCCTTTCTGCCACGGGGACAAACTGCGCGGCTGCTCTCCGCCGGCACGAAGAGACGCGCGCGGGCTCTCGCAACTCGCTTAAATGCGCGTCCTGCGCTCCTTTCGCACGCCGGCCACTTACAGATCACGGTAGATACCACGGCGATACTCTGCTCGCTCGATTTATTCTGCCAGCAGCCTTGCTTTCCCTCGCTTCTCTCTTTATCGATCTCTCTTCATCCCCCTTTTTTCCCTAGATGCCCTCCCGCCGCCCGCCGTTATTATTTCTGACGCGCGCTGCTCGCGACACTCGCGCCAGGTGGCAAGGGACGTGGATGGATTTAGGTTGTGGAAG